ATTAGAGTGATGCTCTCTCAGTGCCACCACTTATGCACTAAGTTTTATCTGGAGAAGTCTCTCTATCCCTTAGATCCAAAAGCCAAAGTTTTAAAGCAGTGTATGCTGAGGGACTGGCCTAGCTCGAAAGCTCATCTGCAGGTAGGCTGGCAGGTGGCTCACCTGCTGCTGCCCCACGGCCCGGGCAGGCACCTGCCAGGGTTGGGAGAGAGGTCGGCTGTGAAGGACCCAGCACTGTCGTTTGCTGACCACGTGTCCTATGCCAGGCCCTGCGTGAGATGCTTTATATAGGGAGCCATGTTTGGGGGCTGCTTGGTCCTAGTTTGGTTTGGTTGGTTGTTCTCTTATTAAGAGATAGACAGGCCAGTCCCATCTAGGCATAGGCTGAGCGGTCTCCCATAGGAGGGTTTGAAGGAAGAGACAACTTGGAATCTCTGAAGGAGAAAGAGGGGTTGGTGCCTGGGCGTCGGATGCTAGAAACAGCCCTGATGTAGTAGTCCTGGGCCCACCTGCCCCTAGGCCACAGTGGAATGAAGACGAGAGCTGTCAGAATGAGCATTGCACTTTGGGTACAGCCTTATCTGGGCAGGAGGGTGCTCAGGTAGCCTGCAACAACGAGCTGTAGAAGTGTCCTGCTTCCTCACTATGCACCTGGTGGCAGCCAGAGCAGAGGACAGGTCACACGGAAGTGACAGCAGGGTTACCAGTGACGGCAGCACTCTCCTCCTGAGCAGCCTCATGCCTGCTGCCTCGGCAGTGCCCTGGCTCCACATGTCTGAGCAACCATCACCCCAGGAGCGACTCTAGTGCCCAGGACAGCCGCTCACAGCAGCCCCAAACTCCCCGGCCTCACTCAGCTCACGGTAGGGAGCGGGCAGCGCAGAGCCGAGGATTTGCCACCATGGCGGACACTGCCAGGCCTGATGGAGGAAAGGAAACGTGTGCAGATGTGAGAGAGCTTCAGGAGGCAGAGTCTGCATGATTTGGCGAGTGAGTGGGGAGGGCAGGTGGGGAACAGTGGGCATCAGCACCGAAGTCCAGGCGTCTAGACGTCAGGGGGTGGTGCCATGTGTGTACCAAACAGAGGATGTGAGGGAGGCCTGGTGGTGGGTTCCATGCTCTGGTTAAACAGGGTGAATTGGAGGTCCTGACATCCCTAAGCAGAGATGTCCAGGAGATGGAGGCCAGATAGGGAAGTGAAATTAGGCTTGAGGTTCATCAGCACGTGTTGGTGAGAAGCTGTGGGAACAGACAGCATCGCCTAGAGAGAGACCTAGGGAGGATGAGAAGGGAGGATGCTAAAGTCCCAGACCTTGAACAACAACAGCGTTAAAGGCCTGAGCAAAAGAAGGCTGTCTGGGAAGGACAGCCAGCGAGTCAGGAGGAAACAAGCAGGGCAAGTTGGCCCAGGAGACACAGTCTTTGTGCATTTGACCTGCCTTCAACACTGACCATTTCCTGCAGCTACTGCCGCTAGCACAATTTCTTTGTAGCCTTTCTTATGCTTTTTATCTGTAGTCTTTTTCTTTCTTTTTACTTCTACAATCACATCTTATTTTTCTTTTAATTATAGAAGTAATATATTTTCATTGTAACAAGTAAAACCAGAGATGTTTGAGGAAACCAACATAAACAGTTCATTCTAAATCATCTCTGTACCCCTAACACACACACCCCATACACACAGAAATGCACACACACACACCCATACACACAGAAATGCACACACACACACACCCATACACACAGAAATGCACACACACAGAGGTTTGTTTTTTGTTTTGTATTGCACACAAATGGGAGACCATATATAAGCAAATTTTTTTTACGTATTTCATGGAGATACATATTTCATTCTCTTATTATTTAATGCTATTTAATCTGTAGTTTGGCTACATTAATCTTCTTTTATTTCAAGTGTTCTTGAGATCACAGTCTATATTGTTATCCTCTTTTTTCACTTAATTTTAAATGGATTCCCATGCCATTAAAGGCTCTTTGTAAACATAATTTCAGTGACTGCATCATATTCCAGAGTATAATTTACCAATTTACTTTCTACCAATTTGGGGCTATTAAAAATAATATCACAAAATGAACATTATAGAGCATGAAACTATGTCCACATTTCTGGATATTTTCTTTAGGATATGAACACTTGGCATCTTTGTCCATGCTGCCAAATTGCTTTTTTCAGAAAAAATTATAACAATCTGTACTCCCACCAGCAATGACTGAGAGAGGCTCCCAACATCTTTTCTTGTATGTTTACTAAACTGTTAGACAAAAGTGGTGTGTTCTTACTTTAGTTGGCATTTTAGTTCTTCTGTTGTGCTAGTTTTATCTGGCTTCATAATTATCCGTTTGCAATTTCTTCTCTAAGAATTACCTGAACCTGCACCCATTGCTCTAGTTTTCTAAAGTTGGCCTTCCTCCCTTACCACCAGTCCGGCCCAGCCCTGAGCCCTCCTGCTCTAGATGTTTATTCCCCACCCTTGTCTCCATGGTGGTCTTTTCCCTCCTGGTCCTGCTCACAAGCCTTTCCTGTCCCTTCTGTCCCCTCCGCAGCGGGTCCCTCTCATGGCGCCTGTGGGTGCACCTTGCTCAGCATTTCCCAAGTCCCCGCACCGCGGAACAGAACAACCGAACACGAGCCCAGAATATGTCCAAACAGGCTGTCAGGGTCTGTCATGGGACAGGAGGGGTCCGTGCTGACAGGCCAGGAGACACAGAAGGGGCTCTTGCTGCCCTGACCCCAGCCCAGGGACAGGTGAGGTGCCACCATCTGGGCCTAACCTGCCGGGATTTTGCACGACCTTCTCAGCTACCCGTTTTCCCCCTCTCCTCTTATCCTGACTCAGGCTTAACTTTCACAAATGATACAATGTGGTGGTTTGGGGTTTCTGCAGGAGAATTTCTGTGCTCCTTGGGGCACGGGGGCCTGTTTGCCCTCGTTAGAGACGAGGGGCCCTAGACGCTCTGCAGACGCTGCCAGGCCACGGTAATACACAGGGGCTGTCCGGGCTGCGGCGTGCAAACCTGGCTCTTCTTAGTGAGACTTCGCAGAAATCCCACTGGAGCCTTCCCTGCCCCTGCCCTGTCTACTTTCCTTCATAATGATAAATGGCTGAAAAGAAAACTATCTAATCTCCAAACTGCTTGCTTTTTTTTTTCTGCCCTTTCTTCAAGGAGAGAAGGAAGAACACAGTCACATAAAACAGAGTCCTTCATCGCCTGCTTCTCAGGAGACAGTTCTTTCTCTTTTCATCCCAGGCCTGTTTCTGATCTGTGATGGGCTCGCATTGAAAGCTCCAGCCCGGCCCTCTCTAATCAGCTGCGACAGCCGCTGCGGTCGCTTGGGTTGCCCATCGAAATTGAATTGATTACCCGGCCCCCTTGCCGTTTTGTTCGGCGCACAATTGCTTAATAGCTGTCACCTTGGCTTTGAGTCCCGGCTGGCTTCAGGCTGACTGGTTCCCATTACTCAGGATGGCCAGTGCAAGTTCATCACCTCTACAGGATGTCCCTGATTGATTCCGTATGCCTTGGAGACCTGTAATATATTTGCATAGGGGGAGACAGGGGTGGTTGGGGGACGGAATAGAAAAACCCCTTGGCCGCAGGAACTGCCAGGTTTCACTGTGGGGCTCGCCATATTTGAATCATTACCAGGACTTCTTGTCAGGAGTCTGGCCTCTGCTGACATAGCTGCTAATGAATTTGTACATTTTTAAAAAAATACAAAACAACCCAGCCTGTTCTAACCTTTGCTGTCGCCACCTGCCACCTGGGTGGGGGAGGCGAGCAGAAAGGGCGCTATTCCGGCCTAAGCTTGTGCTGGCCTTTGAAATGACAGCCCCTCCCTCCGCACCCCTGCCCCTGCCCGCTGAGCGGGAGAGCCAGGCTGGGAGGGAGACATCTTTCAAGTGAAATCCCTTGCACTGGGAACTACTTCAATTAGACAGCAGGGGGAATGTTAACATGCCCTCCGGCCTTTTAAGTGGGTTTTAATTTTATGTTGTAAGATAAGACACTGTGAGGCCGGCTGCTGCTCCTCCAGCAGGCTCCATTAGTGGGGCGAGCCGAGGCCTCTTGACCCCCCGAGGCCCAGCCGAGGTTGGAAGTTGGTTTGGTTTTTTAACAATTTGTCAGGCTGACCCAGCTTCTCCTTTCCTCTCCCTTTTGTGATTCCAGGCTCTTCCATCGTAGAGGGCCATGGGGCGGCTGGTGGAGCTGCCACCACCAAGAGGCCCAGCCCGGCTTCCCCGAGTGGCCAGGCCCTGGGCTGGGGAGCAGAGCCCCAGAGGCCGCCGGCCCATGGCCATGCAGCTGAACGTTAATCGGCTTTTGTCCCTTCCCAGGCAGGGCACAGCAGAAGCAGACCCTTTTCATGTGGCAGGTTTCTGGCCCGATGATGTATGACCTGTTGGCGCTACTGAATGGTGCCCTTTGTTCCAGGATATCCCATGTGCCCCCTTTTTATTGAGCTGTTGATTCAGAGGGGCAGGAAAGTTCCACAAATCCCACTACAGGCCTGGCTTTAGCCATGCCCAGATGGGGAAGCCAAGGGACCTCATGCTTCCCAGAAAGCGGGTAGGAAGCAGTGGGCTGCCTCAAGGCAAAATACTCCTTAAGCAGCAGCTTGCTCTGCCTTGGATTCAGCTGTGTGTCTGGAGAGAGCCTAGGAACACACATCTAGCCTCCAGCCCTCTGCCTGGGTTCTAGAAGGTGTGGAGTATCCCATAGTGTAGTCTTTGCTCAGAAGGAAAAGTACAGAGCAGGTGTGAGTTAGGAAGAACCCCCCTTCCCTGTCCCCTGAGCCAAGTTCAGTTAAGTTTTTCTCTGACCAACAAGCCCGAGGTGGGAGCCAAGAGCTAAGGGAGGAAGGAAGGAGCTGGCCTCCTGTTCTGCTGGAAGGTGGCCAGCCAGAGAGCAGCCCTAGAGCTGCAAGGGAAGCGCTCGGGGGAACCAGGAGACAAGGTTGACCTTTTACCCCGCAGGACATCTCATCTCAGCCCTGATGAGGACAAGGATTCAAGGAAACTTCACTTGCCTTCTCTTCTGCCGGTTTCCCAGACCAGCCTGCAGTGGCAACGGCACATGAAGGTGAGTGGCTTTGGGGAGGGAGCCATCAAGGGTGGGGGCAGGTCACAAGGTGTTATGAGGAGGGAGCGCCAACAGCATCTTCCTACACCTGCCCCTTGTCCAGTGTAGTGGGGCGAACCTGGGCTGGATGTCATCTCCTTTCTTCCTCTCACCTTGTGGCCAAGCTTCAAGGATCTGGCAAAGGAGTGGGCACATGGGGGCTTTGCCAGGCCTTGACTCACCCTCTCTGGGGTGACTGTGGTGATAAGCTCACACCTCCAACTGCTCCAGGAAGCCCCAGGCGCTGACTTGAAGCTGTTCTTTAGCTCCTTTGCTGAAGCAGCTGTACAGATCCCCCCAGGAATTTCCTACTTATGAGACCATTTCCCCCAAATTGCCAGGTTGTGCGCTGACTGCTACACGGTGACAGATTCTAGCTTACTGCCTGTCGCCCTTGTGGGCCCTGGAATCCAGACCCATATCCTGGGAGTCACGTGAGATCAAAGGTACGATTGCTCCATTGGTCCTAAATTACTTCACTCTGAGTTCAGACGCTTCATGGTACAAATGCTCAGATGCACTGAGGGCCTCACCTGGCACTTGAGAAAAAATACCCGCACTAGGGAGGCAGGCACCACTGCTGAGCCGAGAAAGGACAAGTCAGGAATAAAGAGCACCCACACGTTTCACAGTTGTAAAATGGCTTTATGTTCCGATATGTAAAATAAAATGTCCATGCTATATATAACAAAACATTTGACGTTCCATATCGCCTGTTAGCTAATGTGTTCTCTAAAAAAGCTTTACCTGTAGTGTGTGTTTGTTCATATATATATGTTTCATCTAAATCATTTTTAGTCTTTAACATCAAACATGTAATAAAAATTTAAATAGATGTCTTTCCAAATACCTCCAACGTTCATTTTTATTGAGTTTATTCATTTGTAAAAAGCAAAGCTGAATTTGACGTGTGGCCCGCATTTGTGAGATAGATATATATATTTATTTATTCATATAATATATAAATAACTATTCAGCATGCAAAGAGTTTAGTGATTTCCCAAATTGTACTTAGAGTTCACACCAGCTACACAGATGGTCCGGTGACATTCAACAATAAAGAGCAGGGCTAAGGGCTGTGAGAGCACCTCACCGGAGAATTATCTTTGCTCCTCTGAGCTTACTGGCTGAATTTACATGCATCTTTCAATTCTCCTTATTTCTGTTGGGCTTTCTTGCTCCAGACAGAGGTCCAGGAGCAGAGCAGGCCCTGGAGATGCCTGCCATCAGCTCCAAGGTGGTCTCCTGGGGACACTGCCAGGGGAGGTGTGTTTTATAACTGCTAGTCATAGGATGCGGATGGTGCCTGCATCTTGCGCACCAGAGTAAGAGACTGTAGGCTGGGAACCTCGGGGAAAGGGCTTTGTACCTTATGACAAAATGTGAATGACAAAGATGCTATTGGTTACATTTTCCCTCCTCTTAAAGGAAAAAAGAACTTTTAGCACATGATCCTTTCTGCAAGTCAGCCCTCAGACCTCCAGGAATCAATTTCAAGGCCAGCCACTAACTGAGGAGCCAACTCTACTCTCAAAGCACTCTCTGGGGCTGAGCCCATCTCTCAGGTATTCTCACAGAAGCCAAAAGGGTGGGCCTCCTGCTACCAAAACAAGATTTCTCAGCTCCCCTTGTAAACAGGAGGCCGGGAGCTCTAAGCTATGTGCAGAGCCCTCCCTAGCAGTGGAAATCTCTTCTGTGGGAGGGACCTTACCAGCTGGCCCCTGAGTACATCAAAGATCATATTATAAAAACCTCTAAATACCTCATATGAACTCTCCACTCCCATCCCACCCATGGGCATCCCAAGAGATGTCAATGAACCCAGGTCCTGCAGCCAAAATCAGATAATTGTTTGTGGGTTTTTTTTTCTTGTCGTGGCCTCAGTTGTATGTCGGAAGAGAGATGCTCTCCAAATACATACACGCACTCGCACACACACTCCCCCTCTGAAATACCTCCCTGTGTTTCTTGGTAGTGCAGGCCACCCACGGAGGTTAACGCTGGAGCAACATGGTCCCGGGGCTGTCGAGGAGACGTGACAGTCATCCGTCAGTCCAGTTCTCTACCGTCCCCATTCCTGAATGATACTGTAAGGAAGACTCTCTGGACAAGAAGGTTTGAGAGTAGAGAAACTCATTGGCAGCATTCAGGTGTGGAGAGGGCGGCTTCCTCTCGCACACTGGGGGGAGGCCACGCTCTCTTGGGAACGAGGCGGCTGGCCCCCGCTCTCGGACCTGAGATTGTGAGAGCTGATTGTAGACACTGAAGTGGCTGTTTCCTGGCGGCTGGGAGCTCTGAGCAGAGAGGGTGGGCAGCCGAGGCATCATGGTGGTGGCAGTGAAGTGTGTGGGGAAAGGCTGGTAGGGCACAGTCTCCATGGTCTGGACGCTGTAGCTGGTGTACGGCGAGACTGAAGTCCACATGTTACAGCTCAGCGGAGGCGGGGGCAAGTCATCCACGCCAGACACGCCGGCAATCTCGGGCCCTGAACCTGAGTACATGCAGGCTTCTCTTGGGGTCACCTCACTGCAATAGGAGGGGCTGAGCATCTGCTGGTCGTAGGGAGGGGGAGAACGGAAATAGTGATCCTCCCCGACTGCAGAGGGAGCTTCCAGATAGGATCGCTTGCACGGTAAGTCCAGGTGGCGGGCACTGTCTGCTGAAAGACAAACAAATATCAGGAAGAGCTATTTCCAGCAGCCCAGGGCACCCTGCTGGATGCCAGGACAGCCTGCCCTTGTCACTCAGCACCCGCCCTTGCCTCATGTTACCATGGTATTCCCAGAGCCATTGTAATCAGCTACAGCTTTTATAAGGTGGCAGCAGCCAAAAAGTGGTCAGATTACGGACCCTACTCAGAGGCTGAGGAGGACACCACATCGCTGGACACTGAGTGCAGTGCTTGGCCAGGCAGCATGTGGCTTTGATCCTTTGCCAGCCTGACTCTTGGGATAGTAAGAGGCTTTGGTGTGCAGTGGCCTTCTCGGTCTAGGCTGGCCATGGGAAGTGGAGGCTAGTGCCAGGCCCAAAGGCCACATCTGTCTGAACGAGCCAAAAAAGTAAGGCCCTGAGGTTTCTGTCTCGATCCTCAGCTCCCAGGAAGGCCTCAGTAAGCCAAAGCTACTCATAGGCATGTTTCTGTTGTTCGTAGGAGAGGAAGTCACCCTACTGTGTTTTATTACACAGGTTCCAACCCAACAGTGGCTGCAAAATGAAGACATGGAACTGGTAGTAAGTGAAAAAGGTGACATAGTTTTCAGGCTGAGTTGATATGCTGGGGAAAGATAATATCAGATGCCACAAATTGTGTGTGTGTCTTTCAACATCCTCAGCCATGAGGGCTTAACTGTCTAGAGTGACACAACCTCCTCTGGGGCCAGGGCTGCCCAGGGAGTGGCCCACTCAGCCAAGTTAAGAATACTCACCCGAAGCTCATCTTGGCCTGCTGTTTCTCTAGGGATCCACTCTGGTAGCTGTGTGTGTGCACAAGGGGCGTGAGCGGAGGGGCTGAGTTTGAAGGCCTATGTCCTGGTGGGGGATCTGCCCTATTCTTACCTGCCCCTTACTCAGCCCTCCCTGTACCAAGTTCTTGGTCTTGGCAGATGACCAGTCACTCTGGGTTAGGAGGGAGCACATTTTTTCAGTCAAGGGCCAAATAGTGAATACTTAAGACTTTGTGAGCCACTCTATACTGCTGTCCCATGAAAGCAGCCATACAATATATAAGTAAATGAGTATGGCTGTGTTCCAACAAAACTGTGTTTATGGAGGCAGACTAAGATTTGAATTTCATATAATGTTCACATATCATGAAATAGTCATTTTTTTCCAATTAAAATATCAAAAACCATTTTGTACATGTGGCAGGCAGGATTTGGTCCAAGGGCCACAGTTTGTGGATTCCCTGCTCTGGGCCATTGAGTTCTAGCAGGACTTGTGCAAGGACCAGTTGGAGCTCCACCTGGCTAGTCCCTGAGAACAGGACTGAGAGAACATTCTGGATTGCAAGAAGTCCCCAGACTCATTCCCAAGGGAATTCCAGTGGTCTGGTGAGGTCTTCTGGTGGAATAACACTAATCATTCCTATTCTATCCCTGGAAAAAGCAAGACCTGGTACCAGAGCCCCCATGTCATGGTTTTCCGTCACAAAGCAGCCCAACAAACACAGTGCTGTGGCCTATCTGCATCCACACAAGCTCATTTCAACTCCTTTTTTTTTTTTTTTTTTTGAGACAGAGTCTCGCTTTGTTGCCCAGGCTAGAGCGAGTGCCATGGTGTCAGCCTAGCACACAGCACCCTCAAACTCCTGGGCTCAAGCGATCCTCCTGCCTCAGCCTCCCAAGTAGCTGGGACTAGAGGCATGCACCACCATGCCCGGCTAATTTTTTCTATACAGTTCTAGTTGGCCAATTAATTGCTTTCTATTTATAGTAGAGACGGGGTCTCGCTCTTGCTCAGGCTGGTTCAGAACTCCTGACCTTGAGCAATCCGCCCACCCCGAGTGGTAGGATTACAGGTGTGAGCTACCACGCCTGGCCTCATTTCAACTCTTAAGCAGCTTTTGCAGATCTTTGTAGGAGGAGGTTAGAGAACCCTGCACACAGGACTCTCTGTTCTGGAATGGAAGTTGCTTTGATAAATGACAGCCCCAATCCCAAAACCTGGATTGTGAAGCTTCAGTGTCCTCCTGTGGCCTTTTAGGTAGAATCCTGTCTGGGGACAAGGCCACAAGCTGTGAGGATTCCAAAGGATGCAGTAAAGGCATGGTCCCTAACCCTTCAGGCCCACTCTCCTAGGCCACACAAGCACCCAGATAAGTGTGTGTGGTGGGGAGGACCCCACCCCTCCTCTGACCCTCCAGGGCTTATAGACTAGGAGAGAGGTACCTCGTCTTTTCAGGCAGTGATAGAAGAGGCTTGAGTCCCTCTGGGTGGGGAAGGTGCTGAGGGGCAGGTCCTGTGGCTCAGCCAGCTGCGTGTGCGCCCCGTTCTCGTGCTGGTAGTGCTGGAGCGCCTGGTGAGCGCCGAGGAGGGGGCCGACGTCCGGCGTGGCTGAGAGCTGGGGGGACACGAGTCTCTGCCTCATGATGCTTTTCGAAATCACAGGGTATTCTTTGCTGAAGGGGCAGGGAAGACAGAGAAATAAAAGATGCCTTGAGGGTTATGCAGTCCACATGCCTGAACCCAGTCTGCCTCTCCCACCCCCATGCAGCCCCACCTCTGCAGCCGGGCCACACGCAGGTCACTGTCATCACTGCCACGAAATCCCTTGGCGAAGGGGTTATTCTCAATTTTCAGCTGTGTGATCTGCCAGGAGAGGACACAGGGTAGAGTCACTGGGAAGAGAGCTGACCTCTGGGCCCTCCTCCCCCATCCCCAACATATCCAGAGCCGTGGCAGAGCCTGGGGACAGTGGCCATCTGGCTTGTCCCTGGCTCTGATCCATTCCACTTGCTCTACTCTGATCCTTTCTGCAACTCCCAGCCCACTGCCTGGCTTCAGTCCCCAGCAGTCTCTCTGGGGACCTGTAAGCTTTTCAGAGAGCTTCC